AAAATACCAATTATACCCTTTTATAAAAGTAATTTTATGAAAAGTACTTTTATGAAAGCATTTTTATAGAAGTACTTTCACGAAAGCACTTTTAGGAAAGTACTTTTACGACCACACTTTTAGGAAAGTATTTTTACAAAAGCACTTTTATAAAAGTACTTTTTATGAAAACACTTACAAAAGTACTTTTCTGAAAGAACTTTTACAGAAGTACTTTTACAAAAGTACTTTTATAAAGCACTTTTATGCAAGTGCTTTTACAAAAGCACTTTTATGAAAGCACTTTTACGAAAGCACTTTTATAGAAGCACTTTTACATAAGTTTTTTTATAAAATCACTTTTACAAAAATATTTTTATGGAAGTACTTTTTTTTTATTAGCAAGAATTTTTTTTTAATTAATAATAGAGAAAATCAGTTACAATAGTTAAGGGTTGCAAAGTAGCATTAATCTAATCTACAACCACTTGCAATCAGCTACAATTTTGCCCAGTACAATGAAGATCTATTTGCCCCTTGTTTTGCTAGGGTATCCGCCATCCCATTTGCATTCCGTTTAACCCAACCAAACTGAGAGTTGATCCTCCTTGCAAGTATGCCAATTTCTCTAAAGATATATTTGAGCTTCCAAGGTACTGATGTGATGTTTTTAGCCCAAGAAATGACCAGTAGTGAGCCTCCTTCTATTTCTAAGTTTGTTATTCCTATCTGCTCAGCTATCTTTAGAACTTGAAGTAGGGCTAGAGATTCAGCCTGTATTGAGTCACCAATACCTATTGGTCCTGAGAAGAGTGCCACCACCACACCCAGATGATTTCTAAACACACCCCCTATGCCCGCCTTTCCTGAGTTGCCAAAGGAACTCCCATCAAAGTTAAGTTTTAGTTTCTTCAGTGCCGGTGGCTTCCATTCCACACTCACAATTACTTTGGTGAATCTGTTTGTGCTACTTCAGCCCACCTTAGAATCTCATTCATGGAGTAATTTTTGAATAGCTCCATGGTCTTCACCCAATGTACAGTTTTGATTCTTATGGCTTCAATAACTTCCTCCTTTGATTTACTTTTTCCAGAAAAATTCTTAGGTTTCTTTTCCTCCCATATAGTCCATACTGTAGCTGCTTTTGCTGCCTTACATAAGCACTTTTCTCTTTTCCTCTGTTGTCTTAGGAAGGATGGGCTCAAAAGACTTACCACATCTTGTGGGGGAGCCCATCTGCATCCAAAGAGATATCAAACAACATTCCAAATACCAGAAACAAAAGAGCAGGACAAAAGTAAGTGGGTTAGGGTTTCATCACAATCCATACAAAGGACACACATGAGGAGAGAGGCAATTGTTTGGCCTCCTTTTCTATAGCACACCACAAGTGTTTACCTTCCCTAGAAACACTTCCCAACGGAAAGCTTGTACTTTTGGAGGGATCGGTTTACACCGGATTTCTCTCACTGGGAAGTTCACCCTCATAGGATCAGTGTGAGTAAGCAAACCGAAGAAAGATGCATAGGAAAATACACCATCGGGAGTTGGGGACCAAACTCTACTATCGGCTATAGATTGGTCCAAGTAGACCCTCTCAAGTGTTGAGATCAAAAGCACTAGAGACTTGCATTCATTTTTTTTTAATCAATAACAGTAACTTTTATTAAGAAAAAATATTATAGAAAAATACAATATGAAGGGAGGGGTAAAAGCACTTAACCCTCCCTAACATTAAAGGTCAGATTACAACACAGCCCAAAAGAGATTTGCTCTTCCCACCCCTTGTTTGGCCAAAGAGTCTGCTAGAGAATTGGTACACCTCTTGTTCCATTGAACCTGAATTTGCATGTTTCAAGTAATCTGGTTGATTTTCTTTTTTTTTTTTTTTTCATTTGAGAACTTCCACAGATTAGAATCTTCCTCCTGCAACCAGCTTACTGTCAGCCTAGAGTCTCCTTCCACCAACAGATTTCTGATTTTCAATTGCTGGGCTTTTTTGATCCCTTCCAGAGCTGCCAAAATTTCAGCTCTCAATGAATCCCCCCAGCCTATAGGTGCTGAGAACATGGCAGTAATTCAACCTTTTTCATCCCTAAACACTCCACCTATACCTGAAGGGCCTGTGTTTCCTTCATTGCTGCCATCAAAGTTCAATTTAATGAATCCCGAAGCTGGAGGAGTCCAAGCTGGACTAGGGGAAGAAGTCTAGGGAGCAGACCAAGCCACTTGTTTCCATTTTCGAATGATGTCTCCTGCTGAATAACCTTCAAATATCTTCATAGACTTGACCCAGTGAACCACCCTAACATATATTAATTCAATGACGGCTTCCCTACTTTTTTCTTTCTCATGAAAAGTTCTTTGATTTCTTTCCTCCCACACAGTCCAGCATACAACTGCTCTAGCACATCTCCACAAGATTTTACCTCTCTTTTTTAAACCCCTCACTGATGTAGTACTAAACAAGATCTGCACACTTGAAGGGAAGGTCCACCTGCAACCAAAAAGAGAGAAAAACCAACACCAGATTTCTGATACAAAGGGGCAAGAAACTAACAAGTGATAACAAATCTCACCCTTCTTCTTACATAAAATGCACCGCTGCAGGGATAAACACCAATTAGGCCTTTTCTTTTGAAGTAGGTCACAAGTGTTATACTTTTCTAGGATAGCTTCCTAGCAAAAAGCACCTACTCTAGGAGTAATTGGTCTACCCCAAACTTCTAAGACTGGGAAAGGAGAACCAAGGACCGGATTGGACTGTGTTAATTCTTTGAAAAAAGAAGAGCAAGAGAAAATACCCGACGGAACAAGAGACCACACCCTACTGTCCACTCTGGAGGGGTCAATAACTACCTCCTCCAGAATCTTAAGCAAGTTAGAAATGGAATCCAATTCAGAATCACTGAGTTCTAAAAACCTTGAGAGAGAAAACAAAGAGGGGAACTGCTCTTTCAAAGGAGTGTCACCCACCCAAATATGTTCCCAGAATCTCATAGACATACTAGAACAGAGGTCACACCTGATAAAAGGAAGAAAAGAAGGAAGGATGGCATGAATAGACTTCCAAGGAGAAGCCCTTGTAGCCCTAGATGAGATCCCCGTATCCCAACCATCTACCTCTTGCCCATGAATACTTGGGATTATTTTAGCCCACAAACTCTCCCTTTCTTTTATTCAATCTCCATAACCATTTCCCCAAAAGAGCTTCATTCTTCTTCTGTAAGTTACCCAAACCCAGTCCACCATCACTTTTGGCTTTTGTAACCAAGTCCCACCTAACTCTATGATCCCTTTTCTCCTCCCTTGGTTCCCATAAGAAATCCCTCATTAATTTTTTCAAAATCCTACATACTCCCTCAGGAATTCTAAACACAAACAGAAAGTAAACCGAAAGGTTTGCCAAGGTTGACTTAATCAGAGTTATCCTACCACCCAAAGATAGATAGTTTTTCTTCCAAGAGGCTAACCTTTTTGTGAATTTGTCAATCACCGGGTTTCAAAAGCTCCTCTTGGTAGGGTTATCCCCTAGTGGAAGCCCCAGATATTTCAATGGCCATTGAGCAGTCTCACAACCCAAAACTTGAGCCCTTTCTTCCCCCTCTCTGACACTCATATTGATGCCAATCACACAAGTCTTATCAAAGTTTACTTTGAGGTTAGTCACTTGTTCAAACACATTGATCACCAACTTTAAATTACTAACCCACCTAATCTCCTCCCCACCACAAAACAGAATTGTGTCATCCGCAAATTGTAGATAAGTGACTGAAACCCTGTCCATCCCAACTCTCCAACCACTTACCAAGCCTCTAGAATTTGCTTTTTCAATAAGCTTCCCTAATACTTCAGCAATTAGGGTAAAAAGGAAGGGGGAGAGGGGGTCCCCTTGCCTAATACCCCTAGTAGCTGGAAAATGATCTATCGCCCTGCCATTCACCAGTATAGAATAATGGCATGTTCTGATACACCCTTTTATCCACTTGCACCACCTTTGCCCAAAACCAATGGACTCTAATACTTCTAGCAACAAGGACCAATCAACCAAATCATAAGCCTTTTCCAGATCCAATTTGCACACCAGCCCTTTCTTCCCTCTTCTTTTAAAATCTTCCACATTCTCATTTGCTATTAAGATTCGGTCTACAATTTGTCTATTCTTCACAAAAGCACCTTGATTAGGGGATATGATTGTGGGAAACACCTCTCTAATTCTTTTGGATAACACCTTAGCAATGATCTAATAGAGGCTATTTACCAAACTGATGGGTCTAAACTCTTTAGGGTTACAAGCTCCCACCTTTTTTGGAATTAAGGCAATAAAGGTAGAGTTCAGGCCTGGATTTATCACCCCTCTTTCAAAGAATTCTGAGAAAACCTGTTTCCTCAACCCTCTTCTAAATCCAAAATCCCAAGAGATACCCAAATCTGAAAGCAAACCAAACCTAGCAATAGGTTTGTTGTTATGGTTTGATAAGGAGTAGAGGTCCGGGAATTTAACCATAAGAGGCACATCCCCAACCCAAAGGTCTTCTCAAAATAAAACATTTTATGAAAGCACTTTTTTCAAAGTACATTTATAAAAGCACTCCTATCAGAGTACATTTATTCATTCACTTTGTATTGGGTATTTTGAAAATTTGAAAGAAAATGAAGGACAAAAGAGTCACAATTGCTTATTGGAGAAAAGGACCACCAAACGCCCAATATGAAATCTGGGTGCCAAATGTAAATAAGTACTTATTCGAATAAGCACTTGTTTTTAAGCACTTATTCAATAAGCACTCCCAAACATGGCCTAAGAAGATCGGCTAATTGTCTGGTGGATGGTTTGGCTAAACAAGGTGTTCACAAACAGCAAATGTATTGGACACAATTGTAACATGGTGGCGGGGTGTGTAATTTTTTTTTTTTCCAGTGGCATTTACAGCCTCTTGTATCCCCTTTCTCTTTAACCATTTAATGAAATCTTTTCTGTTTTGCTGATAAAAAAATACTTATTTCCTCCATTTATATAGCAGAGAAGCCAAAACCAAAGGCTTCAGTTGAAACCATAGAAAAAAATGATGCCACTCACAAAGATGGTAGTGGTAATATTGAGGCACTGTCATTTACATTCCGTGAATTAGCTACAGCAACAAAGAATTTCAGGCAGCAATGCTTCCTTGGTCAAGGTGGATTTGGAAGAGTCTATAAGGGGAAGCTTGAGAATGGCCAGGTAAATAATATATCTATTTGGTGCTTACTGTAGGACTTATCCTTTCTTTTCTTTTCTTCCGTTCTTTTTCTGCTAAAAGAACTGTACACTGACTTTGGGACATTGTGATCAGCTGGTGGCTGTGAAGCAATTGGATAGGAATGGATCACAAGGGAACAAAGAATTCCTTGTTGAGGTTTTAATGCTGAGTCTCCTCCACCATGAAAATCTTGTAAATCTCGTAGGATACTGCTCTGATGGAGATCAGAGGCTTCTGGTGTATGAGTACATGCCATTGGGTTCTCTGGAAGACCACCTTCTTGGTACTTTTTCATTTCATTCTAATCATTTTGGCATATTGGTTCAGTTTGAAACAACTTGACATATATGCCTGTGAAAGTAAGCAGATATTTCTTGATATTTGAAGTTTCTATTCCTTTGAAATTAAAAAGCCATGTTGGTCCCAGCTATCTGGGCAGCATCTGATAGCCTGATAGTTGTCTTGTCTGTAACTGATATTTCACATATAATTTGCAGTTATTTCACCAAAGCAAAGGCCGTTAAGTTGGTATACGAGAATGAAAATAGCTACAGGTGCTGCCAAAGGCCTGGAATATTTACATGACAAAGCCAACCCTCCTGTTATATATCGCGATTTGAAATCATCTAATATTTTACTGGATGAAGAGTTTAATCCAAAACTCTCTGATTTTGGGCTTGCCAAGCTTGGACCTGTTGGGGATATGGAACATGTATCATCAAGGGTGATGGGAACATATGGGTACTGCGCCCCAGAGTATCTAAGAACTGGTCATTTGACTGCAAAGTCGGATGTTTACAGTTTTGGAGTAGTTTTGTTGGAGCTAATTACAGGGAGAAGAGTCATAGACACAACCAGGTCGAATGAGGAGCAAAATCTAGTTACTTGGGTAACTTCTTGATTTCCCTTTTCTTTTCAACTCCCTTTGATTGAAGAAGAAATGTTTGCTTGAATGCCACTTTATAGAGTATTAGAGTTCCCTCTGTGTAGGTTGAAATGACAGAATCGGAATTACAATGAAGTCTTACAGATGATAAAAAGAACATCCACTGTTCATGAATTTTTAGTTATATTGAATGGGTAATTTTGATGAAAACATATCCTGTTTAATGAAAAAGATTAAAATATTCTGGGTCAAGTAAAGAATATCTGGATCATTTTGCTGCCAAAAGATAGAATTTAACTTCTTTATAATATCCTTTGAGAATATGAAAGTTAATTGGTTGGTTGTTTAATTGTCCATGGATATCAGAATAGGATTCTGTTACTCAATTACCGTTTTGGAACACAAATTCATCTTCTCAAATGACATTCTTCATAGAAATCTTTGTTACAAGTAAGGTGGATTTTGGGTGGTCAAGTCATCTGGGTCCTCCAAAAGTTTTTTTTTGATAAATAAAAGTTCATTCAAATTTCATTCAAATCAATAAGGATAAACAACTGTTACAAGCATCTCAAGGGAGGTGTGGCGTGCAGCCTCCTCTGAAAGAAAAAGCAGCATAAAATTTACAAGTGTGCCCAGTACAATTGATTCCTCATTACCCCTTAAAGAATCAACCAAAGTATTAGCTTCCCTCCCCACCCACTGTATAACCGGATTCATATGGTTGAAACCTTTTTTTTTCCCGGGAAAGTGAATATTTCATGCTTTTCTCCATTTCTTCTGTGGAAAGAAAAATAGGAATCTTTAGGTCAAGACATCTTAATATGATGAACAGCATACAACATGATAGCCAATAGCTCTCTCTCTCTCTCTTCTTTCTATCTATATGCAGTTGTCCACATCAACCTCTTCTCTCTCCTTTCTTTGCTTCCTGACCCCTTAACATTCTCTCCTTTTTTTTCGTATTTTTGAACAATGAAAACATGAAAGAAATAGACTTAATGGCCTCTAATGAACCAATATTATGTACAACCTTTAGGTCCAATGTCCTACTCGCCCACAAGCAATTTGTTTTCCTTTTCCTTTTATTCAGTATCAATTTCCTTTTACTTGAATCAATTTTGTCTCCACTCAAAATCTTCACCCTTCTCAATTGACCTCCATCATCTATTTTATGCAACTCAGATTCCTTGAACTCTCTCTCTCTCTCTCTCTCTCTCACAGACACACACACACACACACACACTCATTCCTGTCTGGGATTTTGTTTTTATCCTTTATCTCACAGTGATCAACTACATATTTGACAGAGAAGATCTAGTAAACTATAGGTGGGCTTCTGTCATATCTTCTGTTAAGGTTTGCTTTTTTGTTTTTTTTTGTAAGTTATTTATATGCACGTTATGATTGATTAATACAACTTCTGATTTTTATCTATCCTTTCTGTTTCATTGCAATTCGCATTGATCTTAAACAGCACCTCTCAATTTTCATCTCATCTGTATCTATGTAGAAATTAGTAGTGTAACATCACTATGTTACTACAGCAGATAAACTTCCCCATTTGTATAGGGGTGTAGTAGAAAAGTAGAATCAATGTGTTGGGGCTCAATTAGGTCAGGTATTGGAATAAGTCATCTCTTCAATCTTTTCTTGGATCGACCCCCTATTGCTGGGTGAGATAGGTCCATCCTATTCCTCAAGACACAACTATGTAAACAAACTGGTACTAGATGTTTGCTTGGGTATGTGTATTCAGGTTTTCAGAAAGCAGAACTTGTTATTTTTCTTGGATTGCAAAAAACCAGTTGGCATCCAAAATTTCCTAGGCATTTCAGTGGATACTCCTTTATAGGCCTATATGTGTGGTCAAAATTAGAGAATCCAATAAATAGAATTTTCTTTTTCTTTTCATAGATGAATTAGTATGACATTTATTTTGTTCACCCACCATTAAAACTTGCCAAGGCTATAACAGAAACAAGAAGTCCAATTTGTGGAGAATATTAGAATAGCTTGCAATCTGAAACAATGTCATGTTGACATTAGGGAGGTTGAGAAGATGAGTGAAAGGGTGAAGGTGTTGTAGGCAAGTCTCATTGGTAGATTTGTGGGAGTTGAGTTGGAAGAAAAAAGGTTGAAGCCTAGGCAATGTTAGAGTGGGGGAAGGAGAAGGTGATGGGGGTGAGGAGATTTGTCAGAGGATTTTTTTGTTTATGTTTTACAACATATTGGATGCAGAGTGGGTTCTTGATTGGGAAAATTCAAAGCTAAGGAATTGGAATCTCATATTGGGTTGGTGGTTTCCGGCGGCAGGAACAATTCATAGAGAAAAGAGGAGTGCTTTGTGGATTGGGGTGGTGGGTATTCTCTTGCTATCAAAGAGATTAGGGTAATGGCCAGACTTTTGCAACTTAGGCTATGTTTGGTTTGATGGAAAAAAGTAGGGAAATGAGAGGAAAGGTAGGGAAACCTTTAGAAACCTTGTATGGATTTCCCTACCTTTTCCCTTCCTTTCCCTACCATTTCCTTCAAACCAAACATAGCCTTAGACTACATTTGCTAGTTCAAGCACTCGTTCTAGTGCTTCTGCAAAATTAGGTACCATGTTTGCTTGCCATGCCTCTTCTCCTAGCTCCTAGATTGTTGATTTTGTAGCTAATGACCACATGAGTGGTATGCCTTCTTCCTACTTCACTTCCTATAAGTTGTTCTTAGGGAAATGTAAAATTAAAGTTGTTTTTTGATCAATAACAGAATTCAATTTTATTAAAAGAAATCAAGAATATGTACAAGATTTCAGGGAGAGATAAAATTACTTAACTCTCCCCCAAAACAACAAGAAGATTACAGAATTGCCCAAAACAATTGACCTCTACCCACCCCCTGTTTTGCCAAGTTATCAACCAAGGCATTTGCGGTTTGACTCAGAGAAGAGATTTGCTGGAGGCAGAAGTTAAGGCACAAGTGGATCAAGGAGGGGGATGGGAATACTAGGTTCTTTCATGAGTTGGAAAATGGTAGGAGGAAGAACTTAGTGGCTAGAGTAGAGCTAGAAGGCCAGGTAATTACCAATCAAGAGGATATAGATAGGACCTTTGTAGATCATTTTAAAGCCATCTTTAGTAGGACTTTGAATGAGAGGATGCCTTTGGAAGGATTGGAATGGCCGAGATTAGATGGAGAAAAAGCAAGGTGGTTAGAAAGGAAAATTGAAGAAGAGGAGATCAGAAGGGCAGTGTTTATGATGGATAGATCTAAGGAGCCCGGTCCGGATGGATTTACTATGGATTTCTACCAAGATTGTTGGGACATTTTGAAAGAGGATTTATGTGATGCTGTTGAGGAATTTATTGAGAATCATATAATAAGTCCAGGACTCAATGCCACCTTTTTAGCCTTAGTCCCTAAGAAATCAGATGCTATCCAACCTAAGGATTTCAGGCCAGTTAGTTTGGTAACTAGCATTTATAAAATCTTGGCTAATGTTGTGGATGCTTTTACAGCCGCTAACAACAGCAGTGATGGACAGCAGCAGTAATGGGCGATTAATTCAGCGTTTAATGGACAGCAGCAGTAATGGGTGATTAACTCAGTGTTCTCATCTTAGTGTTCTCATCTTATCTAATTCAGTGTACTCATCTTATCTAGCTAGATACAGTTCTATCTTATCTAGTAGG